TTTTGTTCTGATGTGGTCTTGCATTGCGTATATATTTAGGCTTTTACCCGATGCTGCTTTCAGAAAAAAATGTATGAATATGTTGGCAACGGTAATAGTTAAAGGTACTTTAGTTAAAGTAATATCTATTTTTGGAGGATATTCTTCGGAGAACAGCCTTGGTGGCGCCAACTTAGCTCCTTTAAGGATATGGACGGCATTTCATTGTCTGATGTTATATGTATTTTTTGCTGCTGTGTCTCAACGTGAAGACAAAACATTGTGCCTTGTTTTCTATGTTTGGATGGAGCATTTATTTTATTACTAATTTTTTTAATTTTCTTGTCTTAGCTTAAGGTAGCTTCTTAACTAGACTTTAAATTGCTATATAAATGAACACACATCTTTTTTTTTTTCATTGATTTTGCCGGCGCTTTTAACTAGCACATATATAGTTTTTAAAGCACAACACTCTTGATTAGTGTTTTTTCTTTCTTCTTCCTCTGATGAGATACAAATGCTCAGAATGCCTCACATTTATTATAGCTGTTTTTTGGAGTCAAGGCTGTTTGTTCTCCACAGAATATCCCTTTCTTCTTCTCTGTCTTACTTAGGTACATAAATATATTTTTTTTTTTGTATAGTCTTAAGCCTTTTTTTTTTTTTTTTTTTCTTTTCTAATCCACATTTTTTACCTGGTTTCAAATTTCATATCAAATGCTACAAAATTACTTTTCTCTCAAACAAAACTTCCCTCTTTCAAATTGCCTTTCCTTCACACCCAAGCTTGATTTTCCCCCTGTGGGCAGAAATACTCAGCGAGTGCAAACCAAGACATCTGTCTACTTTGTCTGTCATCAATTTGATGCCTAAGCTGGCACTTCAGGTAGAGGAATGGCTGACTATGGGTCCAGAAGACAGCACTGAAGGTGCATGGCGAGTGTGACCAATTGTCACGCATGTTGTCCAATAAGAGTTGCCAAGTAAAACTGCAGCATGCAAATTAGTAGCGACACAATCGGAATATGTCATCTGCCAGGAGTATGAAATTGAATATTTGAGAGCAAGCCTCCAAATTTCCTTTTGATACTGAGATAAGAAATCTGATATAACCAATTCGTAACAAAGACCTCCAGGCATCATTTGCCCAAAGAACTGGAGATGGAAAGCTATCGGAAGATTAGAGGAAAGACAAAGTTAGACAGAAGTGGCCAGATGGCTAATTGTGAGTCCTTCTGTGATTCATAAACTTTCAACAATTTCTAACAGCAGATTTGGCATCCAGGAAGTTAAGCAAAGGACAGCCAACTGCTACAACGAGCGCCGATGACTGATACTCTTTGTTATGAGCACAAAGGAACAGAACTGCAACTCCGAATTAACTCAGATCCTCGCTTGCTGTTGAAGCTTACAGGAAAAAAGTCACTGACTTGTCTAGCTTTCAATACTTACGAATACAAATGACACTTCAGCATAAAGTAGTCTTTAATTAAAGACTCACATCATACTTTTAAAATAGTCACTATGATAAAAAACTTTAACTGCGGGGATTATTCACAGATTAAAATCAGTTTCAACGAAAACAAACAATATTATAACGAAAGAAAACAATAACGTTGCTATATTGTTCTAGAACATAAATATCTATCATTGTTGCCATACACAAATTACTAAACTATACTAACAAAATCTAACCAGAGACTTCCTCATGAGCCAGAAAATATAATACAAAATATAAGCATTAAAATAATTAATGTATTCTTAACACTTGTTGCAGCCTCCGGAAAGTTGGTGTCAATGCCAGCCGTACGTAAAATTCTCCATGATTGAGGTCTCTACACGATGCAACTAGCCATCTGTGTGCCACTCACATCATATCCTAAAAGGAAACATTTGAGCTGGGCACATCAACATGTCCACTGGATGGCTGATCAATGAAGTGTTGTTCTTTTTATGGGTTTAGCCTCCAAAGTGATAGTAGGTGTTATTTGATTTGGAGAGAACCTGGAACCCGTTATCATCCATCAAACGTGTGCAAAGGAGATGTATACAGAGGAGACACTGTCTGGGGTGGTATATCTTTGGGTAGACGCACAGACTTCTATTTCTTTCCATGTGGAACCATGAATGCTCACGCCTATAGAGATGACATCCTTAATGCTTATGCGGTCCCTTATGCTGGGGCAACAGGTGATTATTTCCTGCTATAGGACTACAATGCTAGACCGCACAGTGCTCACATTGTGGATGACATCGCTGTAGGTAGTTGTATTGCTTCTAGGAAAGATCATACTCCATATTGAAGGTCATATTCCTACAAGCAACTGAAACATCCGATTTATTCATTTCATACATATGATAATTTCTATAACATCATAATTGCCTGGTAATTTCTTTTCATGTTGTTTTATACCTTAATATGTGTTATATATTGCGAGTCAATTTCATTAAATTCTACATGCAACTCTTTGAGTAATTATCGTTTTAGTGATTTTTCCTTAATTAATGATAACCAGTGTATACATAAATCTTAAAAATCAATTCTTACTTCTGAAGGTACGCCTATCTTTTCGGAAGAATCATACTTTTTGATAAAGCCTCCTTCCACATATCAAAGGTTCATTCTTCAGAAAGTGCAATTAGTTTACGACAGAGGATAATTTTTTCATTCTCGGGATTCGTGGGAAAATTTTTCCCTTGACAGCTACAATTATACTGGCAGAGCATCGCATTAAGAAGTTTTAAAGTCATCTCTCTTTATTTCTGAAGAGACACTTCTCTGTTAAAATTTCTTTCCATACTCTTTCTAGCATTCTCATCAACGACGCTTTAGCCGATTTCCTCTTTTTATTTCTGTGCTGGAAAAAGAATGGTTTTTGTTTATATCCATCCCTTGAAATAATATATTATACTGTAAATTCATGGCTGAAGTTCAGCCGAAGGCCCAGACAGAGATTCAAATAAGATGGTTAATATTGTTAGGAATTTTGTATATATGTAAATAATTTTAGTGAAATTATACGGAAACTGTAACTTTTTCCCCCCCATAATGTAACATACATTATACAAAAAGACTTGAAAGAGGGAAAATTAAGATAACAGAGCAAGTCTGTTTAACATTGAGTAAATGGCTATCTCGCTAAACTGACGATGGTTTTCGCAAAAAATTTTGGCGTGAAACTTTGATATTTTGGTCCAGTCCCTTTATAGCTGTAATAAATACTGTGATTGAATAAATGTAATTGGTCCCTATAAGTAACTATAACCACATTTTGCCTTCATATGCTTTCCCGTAATTTCGAGAAGTGGAAAGTACCAGAGACTTCTCAGAAGCTGGGTGAAAACCATATAATCAGCTTCTAACCATATAACCAGAAACATATATCATAGAAAACCATATAACCAGAAACAGCATCAGCTTCTAAGCTTTCTTCTCTCCTGAAGAAACTATCTCAGGGCCCAATTGGGACATTAGACAGGACTGGTCCGAGTAGGGGATTTCATTCCCTGTTATAAAACAATATATCGCAAAAGCATCAGCAGTTTCTTAGTTGTTTGTTCAGAGTGACTTTGGAGTATTGAGATATCCCTGAGAGCTTTGCCTTTTTGTGCTTTGCTTAGCATTGCATTGTATTTAATGTTCTTAGTAGTTTGAAGTGTAACTACTGATCGTGTTCTGTGATACTGAGAACAGCTGTAGGAGAATGCTTTAGTGGAAAGTTCCAGAACTGTAAAGTGTTTCTTTTAGTAAAAACAGATTTTAGTAAGCTATCATCAGTTCTGTGTGCATTCAATCTATTACAAACCCACACGCATGAAACAATATTTTATTTATTATTAATTTAATAACTTAATTTTTATTCCTGTCTTTACATCTTTACATTTTTTTTAAAATTTTAATTCAATTCTTTTATTTACTTATTTTTTCCTGATTGCCTTCCATAAGGCTCCTGCACTTCTAATTTTAAAAATTAAGCCATTATGTAATCCTGAAGGACGGCATGGAATCAAGTTCCTCACCCAATCTTGAAATAAGAATATTTTCGACACAAATAAGCTTCAAAGCTGTTTATATATGCAGGCAATCTGTCTTTTCACTTAGTAAAAGTAGTAAAGTACTTTGCAATAAAATAAGTACTCTGCATAGTAAAAGTAAGCTTGTTTTGTGAATTTTTGTAAGCACATCACAGTGGAGCATTCTCCAATGTTTTTTCGGTACCCAAATTCCATTTTGAATATTTTTTTCCTCTTGAGAATCTAGGATGAACAACCTTTGAACGTTTAGGGTAATTTCTTGAAACATGTATGGATTTTTCTCTTTCTAAAATTTCTTTCTTTCTCAGACAAATGCAAATATCCATTCTCCATAATTTAGTACTATTATTATTATTTAAACCTCAGATTAATGATATGAAAAGACGTATTTTTTCTCCTCTTTGGCTGTTTATAATTTAGACACACCTTTCTTCTTTTCTCTTTTGCATTTCACTAAAAGAAATTCCTTTTAATGCACTCGCAAATTCAAGAATCTTTTTCCTGATAAAGAAGACCGTTTTCTTTGACACTTTTGTTCACAGATGTATCAAAACGACTGTTTCGAAAGTGGTACTTCAAGAACTCCATTTTATTTGAAATTGATTTTCCTTTACTGTTTTTTTTTTTGGGGGGGGGTTATAATTAAACATAATCCATATTTAACATAAGTTAAAAATAAGTTTGACACAATTTCCTAAATTTTTCAAGCAGTTAACTTAAAATCACAAATACTATTTCTTGAAACAGCTATATTTTACATTTATAACAGTGAGACATAATTGTTTTTAATTAGGCAAACTACATGCCAAAAAAATAATTTATAATACCTAAACACTAAAAAAAAAAAAAAAAAAAAAAAAAAAAAAAACCTCATATGTTCTCAAATATTTATGCATTATTTTAAATACAAATCAACACACATTTTTTAGAAGGTGAGTTATCCTTATTTTTTAAACAAGAAGACGTTCTAAGAAATGACTTGCAAATTTATGATGCAATATTTATTAAATCTTTCACCCCCTTAAAATGACTGGTTTAATCTAAATTCATTTTCACACTATATAATTCTACTTTTTTTATGTGTATGTGTGCATGCAAGCACAATACGTGTTATTCATAGTCTGCTATTTTTTATGAGTTAAATTATTTGACACTTATAGCCTTTGCAGCTTGCTTTTATTACAGCTTAAACACATAAAATGTATTCTTAAATTTCAGAACAACAAAATGTAATAATAATAATTCAATCACTTTACAACTATTTTTTTTATTTAATTAAGTTTCAGTTATCTGCAATGCACAATCTAAAGTTTTGTATAAAAGGATATAAAATTACAAGCAAAAGAAAGGAATGATTTAACTTTCATTGGTATCCCACAGGCTCTGCAATCAAATTATACATTTTTAAATAACATGTTAATTATATGACTTTATCTGCTAACATTCCATGGTAATTCTTTCCTTTCTTTTGCTTGTAATTTTACATCCTTTAATACAAAAATTTAGACTACGCACTGCAGATAAATGAAAATTAAATAAAATAATCATATTAGTTGCTTCATCTCACATATTTACAACTTTGCTTCTATAGTGATTGATTTTACTACAGTGAAATTAAATCACATGCAAACTTTTCAAAACACATTTCTTAAAATTAATTAGCAAGTTTTATGTTATTTTGTAATATTTTAAGTTTAATTAAGCATACCCCTATTTATCAAGTGTAATTTCTGTACCAAAATCTTGGAGTATTTTGTAAATAATTCAGTACTATTCAATTGAACAAAATTTTCAGAAAACTAGACACAAGCTTTAAACCATCTTGAACAATACATCAGAATAATTTTTATATTGTTAAAAGTGAATTAGTAAATTGAACTAATAATTTAAACTTTCTATACATATTTAAAACTTAATACAGTTAACACATCTTATTAATTAACTACATAATAGACACATAACTTATTTTATTATTATACATTTCAAACAGGAAGTAGCAAATGTTTTATTATGTCACTTTCTATATTGAAAAAAGATGCTTCCTGAAAAAATATGGAAAAATTACGGTTTGCACAGCAAAAACTAAACTCACAAGTAGACTGTTTTACAACTCACACTATTCTAACACAAATGAGGAGAATATAATAATAAATACTGGGTAAAAATACCACTGTCACCATTCGATTGTTTGTGATCAACATAAAGCTGAATGAGTAAATTTATTCTGTTCCTTTAAGGCAAAACTTCTATTACATCATAAGTTTAAAAAAAAATGTACACGTGCAAACATTAATCAACCCTTGTTATTTATTTACAAAATGTGATCTTGAAAAATATATTTAATGCAAAATATTTATTATGCAAGGGGGAAAAAGGCTTATATACATATTATCACATCATAAACAATCTTTAGCAGAAGAGATGATTAGTCTTCAACTTCTTCCTCATCATCACTAAAATAATTACTTTTCTTGTATCTTTTCTTTTTAGAAGAAGTATTGTTTTCTCCATATTCTCCAGTAACAACTTTCAGACGATACTCTTCCTCTTCCATTTTTTCTTGCTAGATTCATTAAATAAGATTTTTAGAAATAAATTAAAGTCACTTTAATTAACACTATCAAAATTTACAGGGCTAATACACATTAAACAGACATAATGGAAACATAACATATTAAATAGATATTAATTATGGATTACATTAAATATTATGTTATTAAAAAGATTAGATTGGATTATATTAATTAAATATACAATGCATAAAGATAGATTAGATAAATTATGTTAAACAGATAATTATGGATTATATTAAGACATTAATTATCGACATTATGGATAACATATTAAATAGACATTAAAGACCAATAACAAAACAAAGTAAGAACCTATCAGAAAACAGAACTAAATAAATTAAGTATGCAAACTAGATTCACTCTTATAGTACCATTCTATGAATAAAACAGAAGTATGCAAGAATGCTTTATAATTAAACATAACCCATATTTAACATAAGTTAAAAATACGTTTGACACAATTTCCTAAATTTTTCAAGTAGTTAACTTAAAATCACAAATACAATTTCTTGAAACAGTTATATTTTATATTTATAACAGTGAGACATAATTTGAAGATATTAATAGACATGGGTCACTGCTATTAATATCTTCATATCATGCTATAGTACAAAGTCCGGACCTCAAAGCTACAAACTTTCTGCGCATGCGTAAACGCATACTGCATTTACGCATGTGCATTTAATGTATAACGGACGGTATAAGCTAGGCTAAAATTATCCAATTATCTATTTCAGTTAATGTTGCAGATTGTGTTGTTCCTTAATCTTCAAATTGGATCCGGCTTATTATTTTTTGCAGACTGTTAGAGCAATTTCATAAAAGTAAGCTTGAACTTTCGATTATGTCAAAAAGAATTTCCATTTCTGGAGCTGCCAAAGGATTTACAAAGCGAAAGCATGTTTCAATTTCCATCAAACAAAAAGTTGAATTGCTGCAAAAAATGGATAAAGGCATATCCTTTGATTCTATAATCATTCCGAAATATGTTTATCAATTTCACGCAGCTCTGCCGGGGGGGGGACACGCGGCGAGCAATGAACTGGAAGTTGATCTGTCGGCGTTATCCTTATCTTCAGGGCAGTATCTTTTTCTTTTATTTTATTCGGCTTATAATTCCTTATTAAATGTAGTATTTTGTCTCGATGTACTTCGTCTTTGATTTAAATCAAATTCCTCATCATTATAAATATCACGAATACACATCAAATAGTTTTCTGGTTGAAATTTTCTAATTTTGACTAGGCACATAATGTATGCTTTATGCATGCACGCATTGAAAGAAATGTTTAATAAGGTAAACAAATAAATATTAAGCTTTTTTTTTGGTAAATTTTGATACCCTTTAGATCATAATTGCTCTTTATTTCATAAATTACGGTTTCATATTTTATAATTTCTGCATGCCATCTTACCAGATTAAATTGATGAATTATAATCTGGAAACAACCCTAATCCAGAATCGCCGAAGTGCCGACGAGTCCGGATTAAAGACTTTGTACTGTATTAATATTTTCAAATTAATACTCTTTAATTTTTCAAAAATGTTCATTAAAAATAACAGTCTAAGGAAATTTTGCACTTCAACGCATTCACTGTCACTGTAGGTATGCAAAATTAACTAGATGCTGATTAATGAAGAAAACATTTTGACATATACTTCATGTGTATCAGCATGTGATTAGGTATTAAATGCAACAACCATAGCAACGAAATTATGACACTGGTTCTAAAAAGATATTACAACAATTATGTATTAAAAGATGAAAAAAATCCATAGCACTATATGTACTAATATATTTTTTCAATCTTAAAATTTTTACATATTTTAGATTATTTATATTTATTTCCTTTTCTTTACTACTTTACTCAGTTTATTTGCTATAATTAATAAACCAATGTTCCTACTACCCTTTGTGTCATCTTTTAACATGTTAACATCTTGAACCTTTGAAACAGAATTTATTTTTGCTTCATCAATTTCTTCTTCAAGAATTTATCTCTACATCTCTGAAATTTAAGTTAAATTTTAAAAAAAACTGTCGTTCTAAAAAATTGTGTGTATTTAGAACCTATAGAATAAGTTGCTAATCTTATTTCTTTAGTACTTACAGCATTCAGCTATGCAATCAGTGAGAGTTTCCGCAGAAATATCATTCAACAGAATCTACACTCAATATTAAGAATAATTCCAGAGAACTGTATGAATCTTTTAATTTGGCAATTTTCATTACATTTATTAACAAAGAAATTTCTTTTCTATAGATGCTTGCTCATATGACAAGATTACAACCATTTTTTGCATTTGTAGTGGCTCATTTATTGCACAAGTAATAATTATTTTTAATTTCAAGTATTTTATATTTTTTCAGATGTTTAATTATCTTGTAAAATTCATTTTAATATTTTTGTTAGCACTGATATTTATATTTCTTTTATATTGAATGGAAACAAGTAGTTGTTCATGTAACTTTGAGTTTTGATTCTATTGTTTATGTCATTTTAAGAAGCAGTTCATTTTGATAGTTAAAAAAATAAAAACAGAATATTTTGCTATTCAGTCATGATCCTTGCTATTTGCTGCTCTTGCTATTTCAATTCAATTTGAATACAGGCGGTCAAGGCTTCCCAAACTTCTGAATAGTGAAAATTACAAATATAGTAGAAAATAAAGAGTGCAATTAATGAAATTAATTTTATTTCTACAAAATCTATAAAATTTTTTTACCTTTTGAACATCAAGGTAAATTCTAAAAGACACACTAGCACCAAAAAATTACACAACATTCACTGGTCAGCAAGAGTGAAAGCAGTGTTTTTCAGTGACGAAAATATTAAAGACGCTTTGAATAACAATTTATGAAGATAATTTTCAAAAGCCTGTTTGAAATTTAACAAAGAATTTAGGAAATGAATAAAGTAAGTTAGATTTTCACACTATAACAATTTTTATGAAATGACAATTTTTAGTAAAATAATTTAAACTTTCATACAAGCATATCAAAACTTTTTTTGCATGAGTGAATTAATGAAATGAAATCCAAGCGGCCCGCAGGCAAATTTAAAGACATTACCAATTAAAATTTCATTGTACTTGGGGACTGTATAAAAACTGTCACATAATTTGAAAACATATATTTTCAAATGCAATAAATGTAATACATTAAATTAGATATACTTAATGATCATTATTTTTATAATTCAGATATAATTAATTTTTACTTTTTTGTTAAGTGCATAATTGTACCTGATATTTTATGGCAGCACTCAAACTTTCAAGTGCAGGATCTTCTCCTATTTCTTCTTCTTCTTCTTCTGAATATTCATCAGTTTCCCTACAAAAATAATACAATTAAATAATGCATACATCAAAGATAAGGAATTTTACAGGGATTTTCTACGTGAATAAAGAAAAAAAGAGATTTCAATACTTCCTTACTAAAGTGGCCACCTGCTCAGTTGCTAAAATCAGATTTTTTGCAGAACTGGCAAACCTATCATTAGATTTTTAACACATAACATGTTTAATTTTAAGTCTGCTTTCATTACAAAACTGTCCCCCTGAATCATCAATTCAACATTTTTCTTCCTCTAAAATGTTTGATATTTATAATTTAATATTAAATGGCAATGAAACAGCAATTTTTTGTGATATTTTATAATATACAAGTAATATAATCTTTATGCTCATTTTAAATTGCATGACATTGTTCTTTCATGATTCCCCTTTAAAATGTTGACCATTTTTAACTATTCATTGAGTAAAACATAAACGGTAGTTTCTGTATGACTATTCATTCTTTGTATCCTTCCATTATTGTTCCCCCTCTAAAATGTTAACCACATTTAACTTACTAACAGAAAAAGAAGCAGGAATGCTTTATTCAAGAGCACTAACTTTTGCATGCTGAGTGAAAAGCAGAAAAATGGCCCTCAAATGAAATTATTTATTGAGACAAAGTATTTGGATATGTAATTTAAAGAACTTTAGGGGAAAGATCTTCATGCAAATAATTTGTTTCAAGGTTCCAGGATTCTTTTTCTAATTGCTTTATATATATAATATATATATATATATATATATAGGCTTAGAACTAACTTCCATTAGATGGTATGATAGACAATTAAATACGTGTCGGAAATGAGAGAGTATCAATATTTGATTCTATAACATCAGCAGTTGCCAAATTATGGCCTCCACAAAGCTAAATAAATGTTATTTCCCCCATATATTGCAGTTTTAAATTTTTGAAGACTTCATAGTTTTTATAACTTAATTTTAAGTGTTGCTGAAGCACAAACAGTGGTTGCTTTGGTGAGGAAATGCCACTGTTTTCTAAATACTAAAGAATAAATGTCTGCCTGATATTCACATTTTAAGTAAGCAAAGATTGCTAATTTTATTTAGGATTAATCATCTGATTGGTAAGGCCATATAAGTACATCCAAGTAAATTTCTTGTGATGTCTGTAAGAATGTATATGAGCATCTTAAAATATGTCCACGAAATTAAGACTATATATTAAAAATTCATAAATCCTTGTATAAACTAGCAGGGGCATTTTGACAAAATCAAGAAATAATTTATTCTCACAGCAGTTTTGGAAAATTTGTGAATTCTTAGAGATAACTTGGGCTGGTTAGAGGTTCAAAGCAGCAGTTTTATTAATACAGTACAAAGTCCAAGATTTGGACGTCCAATACCCGGAATTATCTAAAATCCGGACCTCAAAGCCACCAACTTACAAAAAAAATTCCTTTTTTATTATTTAATTCTTTTTGCGTGCGTGTGTGTGTGCTTTACGCATACACATTTGATCCCCTCCCAGCATATAATAAAACATGTGGAGAGTCCCCATTCTTAATTTCACTTTAGCACTAAATAAAATACCTCGTTATTGAAGAAACAATTATTTTAGCATAAATTTGTATGATCAATAAGTTGGCTCCGTAGCTACGCATATGCTTAGCTGCTTATTATCTATGAAATAGGCACAATTAGAGTGCCAAGTGTATTGTGGCCCCAGATGTCAATTTAAATAAAAATGGAATTTAAACAATGGCTGCCGACTTCTTCAATATGGATCTACCTTTCAATGTCGCAGTGTTTATGCATCAATATTTCTCTGAAATTTGTTTTTATTACATATATGTAAAATATCTATCTTTCAAGTAATAAATTAATAATAGTCCTTTAACTTCCGTTTTCATTCTAAAAATAACAGAGAAATAATTTTTCTAACTAAACCCCCTGCAGTTCTGATGCACACTTATCGATGAAATCTGAACCCAACACTGGACATTAATCTGTCAAGTGATCTGAAATGTAATTCGGTATAAAAGGTAATTGCACCACAGTTCACCCTCTCTTCTCTTCTGCTTCATTTCACCGAGTTGACTTTTCAAATTTTTCTTCATTATTTAAGAAATGTAAGCTATATAAAATTGAAGGGATAATATCACTATAGTGCACCTATAGTGATGATGTGCATTATTTAAGGAATAAAATCATGTGTGGAATTTATCATAGTGTCTTTCTTCAAGTGTCATCTTTCTAACTACGCAGTTAAGCCTCTCCAACGGCAATCTGTCGCAATTTTCTTTTAGCATGTCATCTTATTATAATAATGGCGTAGTCGGACTTGAGTCGTACATAATTAAATAACGAATTTAAATATTTGTAATTATTTTATTTGGGGAAAGTTATTAAATTACTGTAGTAATAATTAGAAATGAGATTATTGTTTTAAAAAATTTCAATTTTAAGAATTTTGATTTATTTAATGAATGAGTTAATTTTGAAAAATGAATATAGAATTGTGTTTTTAATATAATGCAGAATATATGTAATGTTTAGAAAATTGAATGTATTTATGATAAATATTAAAATACTCCCTTTTCACCATCAACAGAACAGCTGGCCCACTGGGTAACTTTTAAAAAAAGAATAATTGTATGTTAAGATAGAATATGTTGAGGGAGTGCTGAAACAAAACAGAGGCTTTGTTTATACCTCTGTTATTTGTTTCTTTTACCCTCCTCATGCAATGTAAATTTTGAAGGCTCCCATATTATAATTTTTTTCATATAATTATTTTATTTTATTTTTTATATATATAAAGGAGTTCAGTTAATTTTTTATATAAATGGAATGTATATTGCAGTTCAAAAAGGCCAGTGACCTTTAAACAAGGAACATGCCTTTAATAAGCAATTGCCAAAGCAACCCTTAACCATTGATAATATAAATCAGTCAGTTTTAAGGGGATCTGCTCAAGAGATGGAAATGTTTGTATTAGAGAAAGATGTGTGGTCCTTCAGTTTTGTGTAAAATAAAAAAATTAGAAATGTAACAATAGCAATTAAAACCATAATTTTATATTATTATTATAAAATTAATGATGTTAAAATACAAGTTATAATATTGAAAAGTAGTTTTGAAAATTTTGATATTTGTTGTGTATTCAAAGTAAGTAATGTGTCTGCATAATTTTTATTATTATGTTATTGTGTTCAAAGCTTTGCAAAGCCTTTCCTGATAAAAATCTAATTATGTAGACTCTAAAAACACACAGAATTTTGGACTGAAAATTTTAATAGGACTCTAAAATATTATCAAAGTTTATATTTTGCAATTATGTAAATACCGTATTTGACGGCATATAAGACACACCATTATTTAGAAGGCCACACACAAGGAAAAAAAGTTTCAATAGTCCGAATTTAAAGTGTGGTTTTAGTTCTCACATTTCATAAAAGCCAAATAAACAATCATTGAATGAAATTACCAAACATATTTTTATTAAAAAAAATTACCAAAAGGCAAGCTATTTTGAACATGATATGTAAATTTTAATAATGAATAAATGAATGAACGGCAAGCAATAAAAACATAATACAAAATAAAGCAGAAACAAACAAAAAACACAGATTGAAGGAAAACATTGCCTATCATGAAATTAGACTTTAATCACTTTCAAACCATAAAAATCCTTTTCACTATCATCATCATCATCATCGAAAACGAGAATATTCGTCATCACTACTGTTTCATGCAATTCGCTAGTATCACCTTCTTCGAATAATGCGTCGTCTTCTGTTCCGCCAAGAGCATTACTGATTTCGCACTTCTTAAAGGACTTAACAATTACTTCAGCCTTTACGTCCTCCCAAGATCTTTTTACCCACTCGCACGCTTGTGAAGTAGAGGGCCGCTTTATTCTACCTGAGGGTATCAGAGTGTGATGTGGCTCTCCTATCCACCTGTTCCATTGTTCTCGCACTTTTTTCACCGATACATCTTAAAGGCTGCAATTGGCTAGTCAGTCCACCAGGAATGACAGCTACCTGGGTTTTTAATTCTCTCGCTTTATTCTTTATGGTTTCAGTTCTATGGGCGTTAAACTGATCCAAAACTTATCCACCGATACATCTTAAAGGCTGCAATCGGCTAGTCAGTCCACCAGGAATGACAGCTACCTGGGTTTTTAATTCTCTCGCTTTATTCTTTATGGTTTCAGTTCTATGGGCGTTAAACTGATCCAAAACCAAAAGAGAGGGTTTTCTTAAGAGTCCACCAGGTCGCCTCGCACATACGTTCTGTAACCACAGTTTCATTCCAGCTTCGTCCATCCAGCCTTTTGGATGAACATGAACAATTACACCCATTGGAAGTTTTTCTTTTGGATATCGAAAACGGCGGTATTTTCTGTGCAATAGTTATTTTTGTGCGCATTGATAAGCCTTGCCTTTTCATGAACCTGTAGCACCAGCCCTCAGACCGTGAAAAGTTCTGATTCCCATGTTTTTTGCAAATCCTTTGGCCTCATTGATTATCATTTTGGTTGAAACACTTATCCCAGATTTCCTCTTATCTATCACCCACATTTTTACGGCATTTTCAAGTTCAGGCCAAGATGGAGCTGGGCATCGAAGGTTATGTTTTTGTTTTTTAGCAGTCTTCAGTTGATCTTCCTGCAGTCGCCAAGTATGTACCATTTTTTCGGTAGGTGGTGGACCGAAATGCCTTGCTGCTGCTCTGTTTCTATGCACTTTGGCGTAGTTTAACACTCATAGTTTATACTGAATTGTTTAGCTTAATCTCTTGTTTTCTGTAGTTATATTTTCCAGGGTATTTTTTTTTAAACAAATAGTTTTAAGCACCGATACCAACACGCTTATACAGAATAGCACCGATACCGACACGTGTGTCAGCTGAGTCAAAGAAAGTCTATGAAAAGAAGGAAAGGCTCCATAGACGTAATGTGACCATTAAACCTGTTCGAACTTCGACATCAGCTTTGAGCTTTGGTGCTTTTTGGCGACAGATATTTCATGCATGCGCAAAATAATTATGGCAGATGTAGGAAAAGTTATGTATGTCTAGACCTTTATCCGGGCTAAAAATAGCATTCAGTATTGAAAGTGAACCTGTGTCCTTCATGTATAAGATGCAGGTAACTTTTTTTGAGACCAAATTTAGGAAAAAAGTGCATCTTATATGTCGTCAAATACGGTAATTATTTTGGTCAAAATTTGAATATTTGTATTTTTCAAATTTCTTAATTTTCTAATGCTTTAGCACTTTCTCTCTAAAAAAGCTTTTCTCTCATCCAGCCATTTTCTTCTTGAAGGGGGATATGTAAAATATAAAATATCTATCTTTCAAATAATAAATTAATAATAGTCATTTAATTTCCGTTTTCATTCTAAAAAAATAACAGAGCAACAATTTCTCCAACTAAACTCCCTGCAGTTCAGATGTACACTTATCAATGAAATCTGAACCCAACATCTGTCATGTGACCTGAAACGTAATTCAGTATAAAAGGTTAATTGTATTGTACGCAGTAAAGCCTCTGTAACGCCAATCCATTGCAAATTTCTTTCACCAAGTCATCTTATTACAGTAAGCTTTTATTACACACACATGTATACATATATGAAACAAGTTACTAGAATGGCCTCTACTTATGTCTAAACAGGATAATTTAGTTATAACCATCCTGTATATTTAATTTCTCTACCCCCTTTTTTGCTGCAGCTAATGAGAGTTTTAGCTGTGCTTCACCCTTTCCAAATCAGTGTGTCATATAGAGAACAGGCACTATAGCATGTGCAACAGCTGCAGCTGTAATGGATGACAAAATCTGTAAAATTTAGGGAGTTAACTGGGCAACAGATTCTAGGTATCAAAGTGGCTGCACCAGGTGGCGAAAAGCCTAGCACCAGCATTGGTTATATATGCGATAGCAGTATTTGGTTCATCTATGGCAGGAGTAACAGGTGGCAACAATTAGATTCATCGCATAGTAACAATAAGCTCATAAGCTTTGCTGAGTAACGATAAGCTCATAAGCATCGTTACGAGTTACTATAGTAACGATAAGCTCATAAGCTTTGGAACAATGATTATTATATTTTTGACTTTTGAGTTTGTATCAGCGTGATAAGTTTCTTCCCTGTACTTAGATATTTTTAGCTGGTAACTAACTAACTAAATATTTAAATACCAATGGAGTCATATTTTGAATACTTATCTCTACCTCCCAAATTGGTGACCCGGACGTGATTTGAACACGCAACCTTCTGATCTGGAGTCAGTTCACTTCTAGTTCAGTTCAAGTTCACTTCTATTCACAGTTGTTTGTTAGGTTATTTGTTATTCCAAAGTTTTTCATTCCCAACTTTCACTAAGTCTGGCAGACATGTAAAAATTGTTCAATCATACAAAGCTTCTTAAATCGTCCTCTGGAATGCAAGGGGACCACTGTGGCAACAATTAGATTCATCACATAGTAACAAGTTGCCATAGTAAAAATAAGCTCATAAGCTTTGTAACAATTATTATATTTTTGACCAATGCAGTCATATTTTAAATACTTATCTCTATCTCCCAAAAGCATCTGTGTCTCAGAGGATTTCTGCCTAGCTAGACAGCTGCAATGTATAAGTAACAATAACATGAAACAAAATGCAAATAATTTTAATTCTAACAGATGGGATGCTATGTCCATGGTACTAAGAAAAATGGAAATATGATGACTAAAATTTTACCTTGGACTGTTTCATTTTATTCTGAGGGATTCAGTACTGTAAATTTGCATACTGGGTCCTTATGCATGCGTTCATGTTTCTTTTGAGTGGCTTTCTGAGAGAAGAGTATCTCAAGTTAATGCTTTTTTTTTGGGGGGGGATATATAAAGTAGGATGCTTTTTCTTTTGTGTGAAAGTTAATTTTATTTTATTTACTTTTTGCTTTAAGATGTCAAAATGAAAGCCATATTTATTGCTAAGTATACAGTTTTATTCCCTGTACTTAGATATTAGTTTACATTATTAGATATTAGTTTATATACAGATTAGAAGATCTGAGTAGCAATAATGTCAGTGGCTTTAGTAGAAAACAAAATCATAAATTGGGAGAACGTATTAAGAAACCAAACTGTATGTTACAGTACGACAAAAATATGGGAGGAGTGGATATTAAAGAGGCAGTCACTACTTACTACTGGTCTTGTAAAAAGTCTTTCAATAACAAAGTATTTTAGCTCGATACTCAGTCTTATAGTGACAGAGGAGAATGGAATGCCATCCAGAAGGATTAAAGAGATATAGTAATTTTAGGAACTGAATAATTCCTATGAAAACTGAGCAGGTCAGAATAAAAATAAGAATCTCATATTTTTAGATATATAGCCCAGAATACAAGTTAATTTTTCCTAGTAGTTTATAATGAAAGAACGATTAAGAATCAGTACTTAAAATTAGGACTCTGAAAACAGCATTCTGCAGAGGAATGCTATATATATATATACACACACACATCAACAGACAGTTAAATTACCACTTTTCACCAATATTATTCTATTTTTAATCTTAAAATGTTACACACATATTAAAAAATACTAAGAATTCTAAAAAGCCCAAATTTTTTAAATGATAATTTTATTACATAAAAACAATGAAACTTACTCATTTTTGTCTCTGAATTTCCTTTTCTTCTTCTTTTTCTGAGGTTCTCTGTCACCAAGCATATTTTGGGGACAAAAATAACTAAGATGGCCAAATTCCTACCAAAATAAATAAATAAAATATAATAATAAAATACATTATCACCAAACCAGCCAGGCAAATGTAAAGAATCAATTTATTATACAATATCTAGAATATGCAAATGAAAATATTTGATAAATAATAACTGTCTATGCATTGTAACAACATGAAAATTTCTAAACATTCCCATTTTAATTCAATCTTGATACTTACATATTAATACAACCATCTTGGTGCAGTCTGGCACTTTTTACAGAAGAAAAAGGTGATTCAGTGAATCTTTGGATTGCAAATTACAAAGGATATATACCTGAAGAACTGTTATGCACATGGTTGCCAGAGTTTGGGGAATTCTGAAAATTTGATGACTTTTTAAGTGATAATACTTACCTCTATTTTTAAAATTATCTACATTTAAATAAAAGATCTGAACAAAAAGTACATATCTTTTCTATCTAACAACATTTTATTAAGAGTGTAATAATATCCCTTGGTTATAACACATACCCCTTGTTAGTATGAAAGTTAACGACGGTTGAACCAGTTGATATGCCACTGAGTTGCAGTTTGAATACAGAATAATGTCTTTGCAGCCTGAAGACATTTAAAATCTGTTGAGAGATGTCTTCTTTAGAAGTTGATGGCACATAAAGAGGATTACTATGCCTCTAGATTCTATGCCTTAGGATGCTATTAATCAAAACTGAGATGCAAACTTAGGGCTGTTCTTCTGTGCTTTTCCTTAATTAAAAATTCCATCTAATTAAAATTAAAACTATGCATTTTTTATAGTACAGAAATATTTTCATTAATTAACTTAAAAAAAAAAAAAAAAAAAACCTCGAAAAATCAAAAAATATATAGCATTGTCTACTATGATTTGTTTGTAAAATTATTAACTGATTTTACAGTAATAAATGTTGGTAGAATTAGTTACATCAAGACCATTAATTGCACTTTTATTTATATATTAAAAAAATTACATTTGTTATCAACTTGTAGACAAAGGCCTGGAAATTAACAGCACCGAAACAAATTTTCCTGTTTGTATTCTATGACAAAATACTCATATTGTTAAGGCACTATATAATTAATTTATATAAATATGTAAAAATAAATGACATATGTCAAGCCTAAAATATCTCATCAAAAGGTTTTTGTTTCACTGCTTACAACTAAATTTAATATTACTGGAATTATTTACAAACTGAACACACATTTGAACTGCATTTTAGTTTTATGATAATCTTGAGTTTTCTAGCAGTTTAAAAATTATTTCTTCAATAGTGGCCACATTTTCCCCCTATTTGACGATTTAAAATATGACATGATTGTGTATATCACAACATATTCAAACACACTACACCTTTTAAAAATGAAGTAGCTTCTTCAAATCATATTTTCTTAAAGAATTTTTCAGAGAATGCGATAATTTAAATTTATTAAATTAACCCCTGAAAATACAAAATATTCCTGCCAACCGATAAATTTAAGTCAAATACAAAAGCAGTTTCGTTCTTACCAAGGAATAAGAGGTCAAACGAATTTATTCAGTCCCACTACAAACAAAAGCAAATACAACACCAAGTCAAAAGGTTTTCAGATTGAATATCCAACGCTTATAGGAGATGATTCCTCCACAAGCCACTTGTGGTATTGTTTCCCAAATATGATGGGTAGTGTTGTGAAATCAAGCATTTTCTATGTATTATGTGTACCCAAGCTGCCCCACAAAATATATTAATATACTTACACATAATATATTAGGGAAAACTGCTACAGAATGAAGATAACATTTATGAAAGAAGCTATGAGTTGTTTCATTAATAGTTTTTCTGTTTTAAAGCAGGACGAACTTAGATTGATGACAATGAATTATCTGGTCGACCAGTTCAATACCAGAAATAACTCAGAAAGTCCATCAAATTATTTGCAAAGACCATGATGAAATACGCATCCCGTTAGAGATTAGTCATGAAAGCTATCATAACATTTTAACAAAATATTTGATGATAAGACACACTGCATCAAATTTTCAGCCCTTACTTCTAAGTGGTGGCCAAAAACAGCAATGACTAGCCAGTTGCTTGGACTTAAATACACTAATTCTAATTTATCCAGATTTCTTTCAGATATTATTAAAGCTGATGAAACTTGGGTCTTGTTTCCAAAACTGAAAATGAAGCTGAAAAGCTACAGTTTCAGAATGTGAAGAAAACTTCAGAAACCATTTTGCTATGAGAAAATGATTTCCAGTGATGCTTGAAGAATTGGTTAAGTTGCTGGGATTGTCATCGAACTTTGGAGGGAGACTTCTTTGGATATTAAATATGCCACTAATATCTAAGACAGGCCTACTCATCTTTAAACTTTTTGATAGACCTTGTTACATACCAATTTTCAAGTTGGGAACAATACATAGAAAAAGGAGACATAAGTTTCTTGGTTCTTAAATGATGACTATTTTCAAAATAATGTTATTTATATGAAAACTTTAAACAAATTAATAAAATTAAAAAGGAAAAACGATTCCGTTACTTAATTCAAGTGATGTATGAGACAATTATCCCAATTTCAATCAAAAGCCCACCCCCATAAGAATGGAATCTGGTCTTTTTTCCTTAACCCATTAGCCGCTGGTGTTGCGTTGACGCAACGGTCAAAATAAATGCGTATATAAATATAACTACCTAAGATATTTTATACCAGCAGATTATGTTGTGTAGGGAATATTATGAAGATTATTTCTGCCAAAAAATATTTTCCTTCAACAATCATTTTGTTTATAATAACTAATCTCATACTTTAAGCAAAGTTTTCGACCGGGTATTTTTGCTGAAAATATTTAACGAAAGAATTCGCCTTCTTTATGAGTGATCTATTTTTAGTCAAGGTCACCATTTATCAGAACAATCTACCTCAGTCAGATGTTTATATTTGTGTTGGGAAGGAAGGTAAAACAGGTGTTGCGTTGACGCAACGTCAGCAGGAAATGGGTAGTCAATCTCCTTTTTCACTCATTCCTTTTGATGTTCTGGTTGTTTAAAAATGCCTAGAATGAGGTATCTTACATTAGAAGAAGCCCTTCAAAGATTTTTTGATGAAGTAACAGATGATGATAATGTTAATAATGACCAGAATGAAACTGATATTGTTGTTCTTCCCCCCAGAAATCGCAGAGGCCAGTGACGAAGAAGAAAGGAATGGCAATCTCAATGTTTTAAATAATGATAATGATATTTTACCAAATGATACTGCTGAGGAAGTTGAAATTCACGTAAGAAGTATGTTTCAGCCTTCTAAAAGCAGTTATAGTCATACTAAAAAGTTTAAAAAGCAGAAGACTGAAATCTTGAAGTGGATAAAAAAGGAACTGTTAGTTATGTCTCAAGAACATGAAGAAAGAGATGGAAGAGAAATTATAAAAGACAAAACACAAGGTAAAACTAGTGCACAGATTTTCGATTTTCTTTTTGGTTTAGACATTTACTCTCTTCTCGTTAAACACACAAATATATTCACTTAAAAAAAAAAAAAAAAAAAAAAAAAAAAAAAAAAAAAAAAAAAAACAGAATTTATTGCATCTGAAGCTTATGAGAAGATTTATTAGAATATTATTGCTTACAGGATATCATTCTTTACCTCAAGAAAAAATGTATTGGTCTTTTGATAAGGACATTTATGTTCTTGTTGTACGAGAATCGATATCACGTTTGCAGTACAGGAATATGAAGCGGAACTTACATTTGACAATAGTCAAATTGACAGTACTGATAAATTATATGACGTGATTCCGTATCTAAACTTACTAAATATCACCACTTTTTACAACTGGAAATATACTCTTTTAGATTTCAGACGCGAAAATGCATTATTCCTTTTGAAAACTTCTATTGAGAGCGTAGAATTAGCCAGAAATAGATCAACAACAGGAAGACCTCGTAAATTCAGCATTCAAAAACCATTGCATGGAGATGGGATAGACATTTCTATTCGTAAAAGTCCGTTGATAACAAAAGACTTTGTTGTAAAGAGTACCATAGCCAGACTGTTTATAGATGCAAAGTATGTAATGTAGCTTTACATCATGCTTGTAATCAAGCTTTTCATGCTTGAATCTTTCAAATGAATAACCTGTATTTGTAAAAGAAATACAATGTATATTTTAATATTAAATTAATTACAAGTATTTTAATATTAAATTAATTACAAGTAAAGTAATTTTTAGATTTATAAAACGTTATACAGCTAAAAAGTAATCCTGCGCTCCACTCAAAAGAAACATCACACGAGTACAATCCTACTCACTAAACATCCATAGTCTTATTCCGCTGACGTTGCACGAACGCAACACTCGCTTTTTCCAAAGGTAAGAGCATTTTTTTTTTTTTTTTATTTTCAACGTAAATTTATGTTATAAATGCTTAATTTAATATTTGTTATTATTTCCATGAGAAAAGAAACATTCCTTGTAGTTTTGGCGGTTAATGGGTTAATATGAATATCTCAAGAAAACTTCCAGATTGATAAGTTTTAAGTGAATTCTTTCTCAAAAGACACTATAAAACTTTATTGAGATTCAAATGAGACCAAAAATATGACAATCAGCCTTTAACTTTTGTCTTGTTGAATACAATCACAATTAAATTTAATACTAATGGATTTCATTTATTAACTGAACCTACATCTGACTTGTATTTTAGTTTTATGATAATTTTCAGTTTCTTAGAGACTTAAATTCATCCTTAAATATCAGACAAGAAACTACTCGAGGAATTTTTCCCTAAAAAGTAAAAATTACTACGATTTTGAAAATCTTGACAAATATTTTAAATAAAAAATACTTCAATGAAAATCATTTATCAGGGGCAAATTAGTGATTTTGGTGACATTTTTGAAAAGATAGCCAAACTATTGATATTTATCAAGTAACTTGATTATCATCGACATATCAAAAGAAAACAAAAATATAAATTTGAATTTTTAAATAGGGATTATATGATAAATTAAATACTATACATACTATATTATGTGAAACGGTACTTATGTATTAACGCAACCAGGCCAAAATTCGCATAAATCGCCAAGTTTGGCGACCCTACTTACGGCAACTCTACGTGTTATACGTAGTTTTGTAAAAAGAATTTATTTGTAAAAAGAAAAAATAACACTCGGCGTGTACTACCACAGCAATGGGTTTTCGGCGGAATTTGCCAAGAAAAGAGACTTTTTTGGTTACTGTACCTAACAGAAGCGCCATTACCCTCATGGAAAAAATTTGTGAAAATATCAAGGAAGGAAGCATCATTTATTCGGATTGCTGGAAAGGATACAATACAAGTGAGTTCGAAAATGCTGGATTTCTGCATGGAACTGTTAATCACAAATAAAACTTTGTGGATCCCAACACGGGCATTCACACACAACATGTAGAGGGCATGTGGGGCTCAGCCAAATGGCGCAACAAAAAACAGAGAGGAACAGTCCGTCATCATCTTGACTCATACCTTATCGAATTTATATGGCGCCAAGCTCAAGCTGTTAATTGCGAAGATGGTTTTCAATCAGTGCTAAAAGCAATAGCCAAAAGATTTCCACCGAAAAAATAATTCTGCAACTTATTCAAATTCGAAACCGGAAGGGTTTAATTGCTATTTTATATTTTAAAACAAAATAATATAAAAAAC